AATCCTCTGATAGATTTTTGAAAGTTGGATTTTCTAAATCAATCACTGTCTTTTCATTCTACTGTCTGGATGAGTTTTCTTTCAATCCTTCTGTTGGATTTTTAATTTCTGTGTCATATTTTAAATGTTCAGGCCCTTTTTCTTATTCTTTGAAGTTCTTTCTGGTTCTACACTGTGTTCCCTTTTCATGCATGCAAAATCTGTCCTTATCTCTCTGAGGATAGCAATGACACTCATATATAGTTTTAAGTTTTCCTCTGCTCCTAGTATTGTCTCTTTTTCTTTTTCTGATTGCTTTCCTCTATGCTTTTCATGTTAGAGATGTTGCCTCCAAAGTCTGTGGATCTCTAATGACATATTTGGAAATTGAGAGTGAGATGTCTGACGCTGATTAGGTTCTCTCTGAGTGTGGGTGGCACTTGTTGGCTGATAGCTTGGTAGTTGGGAAATCCAGAAAAGCTTGATTTTGCAGATCACATGCAAAGCGTAAAAACTCCAAATGATATTGCTCGTCTCCAGCCAGAAAGAATATGGCTACCAGTAAGCTGGAGTCACAGAATAGGGGAAGGGGAAGGAGAACGTCTCACAGTTCAGCCTGTAGGCTTCCCCTTAGTCCTCTCTAGAATGGGCAGGGACTTTGTCTTGTCTGGTGCTGTAGCTGTGTTACTGTGCCATGCACACTGTATCCATTCAACAAATTGGTGAATGGGTGACTGAATTCCACTATTTCTCATTGAGCAACCATCACAGATACTCCTGAGTCTGGACTTCTCTGGATCAGCCTCTCAAGGGGTAAACGTCTCTCTCACCTGGATTACTCCATGGCAGAAAGGATCTGGAGTCTTTCCGCTTTGGAAATAGAATTTCAAATGGGGTTTCTGTTTCCAGCTCCATGACAAAGGTCCACCTGCTGGGCTCTACGCCCTCCAATTCTTGAGCCTTCTGGGGTTAGGGTCACCTTGGGAGGCAGTTTGCTTCTCTGGATTCTGTCACTGAGGACATTTAGCTTTCAGCATCCTCAGGTCTGTGAAATCACTCATCACTCCTGAACTGGGATGATATTTTCTGCTATTTTAATTCCGATTCTCTTTGTCCTTTCAGTAAATATCTCCTCGAGCAAAACACATAAGTTAATCTGATTTTGTTTTTCAGGAGATATACCTTTTAGTATAGCCTGTATCCCTGCTCTGAAAATGACATAAAGATTTTTTTGAGCAAAGAAAAACACAGTATTTATCAGCTAACTTCCCTAAGGAAATAGTATTCTTCAGAAAAAGTATTCTTCAGAAAAGAGTATTCTTCAGAGTAGATGAATGGAATGTTGGGTATGCAAGGGAAACAAAATAATACCAAGAGTAAATAGATGTGTTGGCCAGGCACAGCAGCTTACGCCTGTAATCCCAGCACTTTGGGAGGCCAAGATGGGTGGATCACTTGAGGCTAGGAGTTCAAGATCAGCCTAGCATGAAATTCTGTCTCTACTAAAAATAAAAAAATTAGTCAGGCATGGTGGCAGGCACTTGTAATCCCAACTACTCGGGAGGCTGAGGCATGAGAATCACTTGAACCCAGGAGATAGAGGTTGCAGGGAGCCAAGATTATGCCACTGTCCTCCAGCCTGAGATTCCTTCTAAAAAATAAAAAATAAATAGGCGTGTAATGTAAATAAATATTGATAGTATAAAACAATAATTATGTCTAACATAGTCTAAAATCTATAGATAATTACAACATACAACATTACATAAGTCAAGATAAGAATACAAGAACTTAAAGTGTTTTAGGGTTCTTGCAATGTCATGGAGAGAGGGTAAATGTATTATCAGTATTAAATTTTGACATGCTCAGCATGCATGCTATGCCCTCTAGGATAACTATTTAAAAAGAAGAGTAGGCCGGGCGCGGTGGCTCAAGCCTGTAATCCCAGCACTTTGGGAGGTCGAGACGGGTGGATCACAAGGTCAAGAGATCGAGACCATCCTGGTCAACATGGTGAAACCCCGTCTCTACTAAAAATACAAAAAATTAGCTGGGCATGGTGGCGCGTGCCTGTAATCCCACCTACTCAGAAGGCTGAGGCAGGAGAATTGCCTGAGCCCAGGAGGCGGAGGTTGCGGTGAGCCGAGATTGCGCCATTGCACTCCAGCCTGGGTAACGAGAGCGAAACTCAGTCTCAAAAAAAAAAAAAAAAAAAAAAAATAGTAACAAAAATAAACCAGGAAGCAAAGTACAATAGAGATCTATGAAACCAAAAGTTGGTTCTCTGAAAAGATCTGTAAAGGCCAGAAATCTCTGGCAAGACTTTTTAAGACAAAGAAAATAGAATGTAAACATACCTACTACTAGGAATTTAAAAGGGAACATTACTTAGAGGTAACAGAGATCATATGGAAATTCAAAGTTAAAATTCAAAGTTAAAAGCCTTGATAATATTAAACATCTATTTATGATTTTAAAAACCATCCACTGTAATAAAATAATAAAAATCTTAATATAAAAATAGAAAGGGGCTGGGCTTAGTGGCTCATGCCTGTAATCCCAGCACTTTGGGAGGTCGAGACTGGCAGATCATCTGAGGTCAGGAGTTTGAGACCAGCCTGGCCAACATTGTAAAACCCCATCTCTACTAAACATAAAAAAAAAATTAGCTAGGTGTGTTGGTGCACACCTGTAATCCCAGTGACTTGGGAGGCTGAAGGAGGAGAATCACTAGAACCCAGGAGACAGAGGTTGCAGTGAGCCGAGATTGTGCCACTGCTCTCCAGCCTGGGTGATAGAGCGAGACCCCGTCCCCCAATCCCCCCAAAAAGGAATTTTTTAAAATAAAGGATGTCCAATAGATATCAACTAATTGATAAAATATAAAAATGTTTCTCAACTGGACATGGTGGCTCAATGAACCTGTAAACTGAGCACTTTGCAGGCTGAGGTGGGAGACCAGCCTAGGCAATAAAGCGAGATTTTAATTTTTAACAACAAAAAGTTAGCCAGGTGAGGTGGTGCATGACTGTAGTTTCAGTTTCTCAGGAGGCTGAGGTGGGAGAATCACTTGAGCCCAGGCTGCTGAGCTGCAGTAAGCTATGATGGTACCACTGTACTCCAGCCTGGGCGGTAGCAAGATCCTGTCAAAAAAAAAAAAAAAAAAAATCTTTCTCTCTGATTGGGAATAGGCAAGCATGACACCTATCAATACTTCTATTCATGTTTTTATGAAGTTCATAGTAACTGAAATAAGACAAGTAAAATAAGTAGGCATATATGTATTGTAAAGTAAAAAATTAATCTTATTCACAGAAGAGTGCCAGAGTTCCTAGACAACCCAAAAGGATATATAGATAAATCATTAGAATTTATATATGAGTTTAGCAAGTTTGTGACTTATATGTAGTGGGAAAATGACTCTTAAAAATAAAAATATAACAGAATCAAAAATAGCAAATATCTAGGGGTAAATCTAATGAATATATTTATAATAATCTCTCTACACAGAAAGTGATAAAATTTGACAGTGATAAAGAAATTTCTGAGAGAAATACATAAATGAAGGGATATATCATCTTCATGGACTGGAACACACACAGCATAAATATACTAATTTCTATATAGATTCAACTCAATCTAAATCAAAATGACTGCAGTTTTTCATGGTGGATGGAGGGAAGAAATTAACACGAACTGATTCTAAAATTTACATTGAAAATGCAAAAAGCCAAGAATATCCAATCTAATGTTCAAGAACAAAATAAGAGGAATTGCTCTTACATATAAAAATATTGTTAAAAATATTGTTAGCAAGTTGTGATGATTAAGATGATATATTTGCACAAGGAAGAACAAGCAAACCAAAGGAACAGAAATCCAAAGGAATCCAGAAATTGACTCACACACTTATAGATTCTTGATTTATGATGAAAGTAGCAGTGGCATTCCTCAGCAGTTCAGAAAGGATAGCTTTGTCAATAAAGCTTCTGAGTCCATTAGACATCAACATAGAAAAAATGAAACTTGGACCCCTCTCTTGCACCAAACACAAAATCAATTCTGGGTGAATTATCGACCCAAATCGGAAGGGTGAAACAATTAACTTTCTAGTGGGCAACAGAAGAGACTCTCTTCTGCTCTCAAAGGAAGAAAAGATTTCTTAAACAGACCTTAAGAAGAGCCATAAAGTAAAAAGACTAATAAGACTATATTAAAATTAGCAATGCTTGTTTATGAAAAGTTGCCATTAAAAAGTTGAAAGGAGCCAGGTGTGGTAGTTCATACCTATAATCCTAGCACTTTGAGAGGTTGAGGCATGAGGATTGCTTTAATCCAGGCATTGGAGACTAGCTTGGGCAATGTAGCAAGATCTCATCTCTACAAAAAATTTTAAAAATTAGCCTGGCATGGTGGCACACACCTGTGTTCCCAGGTACTTGAGGTGCTGAGGTGGAAGGTTTGCTTGAGCCCAGGAGGTAGAGGCTGCAGTGAGCCATGATCACACCACTGCATTCCAGCATGGGTGACACAGTGAGATGGTCTCTCTCAAAAAATAAATAAAAAAGTTGAAAGGCAAGTTATAGAGAAGGAGAAGTTATTTGCATACATATAATTAACAAGAAATTTTATAAAGAATATATAAAGAAATCCTATGAATCAATTAAAAAAAAAAAACAGTACAAAAATGGGCAATAGACCAGAACAAGGTTATCTAAAGGAAGGTTATCAATATAACCAACAAACACAGGACAAGTGGTCCTATCTCAGTCGTAGTTAGTGAAATGCAAAATAACATCACAAGAAACACTACACACCCACTGGAATACCTAAATTAAAAAAGAAAAAAACTAACAATAATTGTGTTGGTAACAAGACGATGTAATGGAAAAACCTATATTGCTGATGTGAGCATAAACTTGCACAAGTTTACCCACTAAAGTTGACATTATCCACTAGAGTTGAAGATATAGACACCCTATGAACTAGAAAATCCTCTCCTAGGATTAGGCTCAGAATAAATGTGCACTGGCTTTGCAGACGCTGCCGTCACCGGGAGCCTTGTATCAGCTGTGGTCAACCCCACCGTGTACTTTCACATTGCCATTAACAGCAAGCCCTGGGTCCACGTCTCCTTCGAGGTAATGGGTCTGGAAACCAAGAAATGACTGCTCATCTAATCCATAAACATAATCTATGTTAACATATTGGAGCTGTTTGCAGACAAGGTTCCAAAGACAGCAGAAAACTTTCATGCTCTGAGCACTGGAGAGAAAGGCTTTGTTGATAAGAGTTTTTGCTTTCACAGAATTATTCCAGGGTTTATGTGTCAGGGTGGTGACTTTGCACTCCATAATGGCACTGGCGGCAAGTCCATCTACAGGGAGAAATTTGATGATGAGAACTTCATCCTAAACCATACAGGCCCTGGCATCTTGTCCATGGCAAATGCCAGACCCAACACAAACGGTTCCCTGTTTTTCATGTGCACTGCCAAGACTGAGTGGTTTGATGGCGAGCATGCAGTCTTTGGCAAGCTGAAAGAAGGCATGAATATTGTGGAGGTCATGAAGCGCTTTGGGTCCAGGAATGGCAAGACCAGCAAGAAGATCACCACTGCTGACTGTGGACACCTCTAATAAGTTTGACTTGTGTTTTATCTTATCCACCAGACTATTCGTTCTGTAGCTCAGGAGAGCTCCCCTCCACCCCATTTGCTCACAGAATCCTAGAATCTTTGCGCTCTCACTGCAGTTCTCTTTGGGTTCCATGTTTTCCTTGTTCCCTTCCATACCTAGCTGGATTGCAGAGTTGAGTAAAGTTTATGATTATGAAATAAAAACTAAATCACACAAAAAAAGAAATTTGTACCTAAAGACACATACATGAATATTCACAGCAGCTTCATTCATAATAGATTCAAATTGAAAATAACCCAAATGTTTATAAAGAATAGAATGATAAATACATTGTACTATTAGCCCAATATAATCTTATACAACATTAAAATGAATGTGCTATAGCTTCATGCAATAACATGAATGAATCTCACTCTCTTAGTCCATTCCAGCCCCTATAACAAAATACCACATACTGGAGAGCTTATATACAATAGAAATTTATTTCTCACAGCCCTGGAGGCTGGGAAGTCCCAGATCCAGGCAGATGCAGTAACTGGTAGGAGCTCCATTTCTGGCTCACAGATGGTGCATTCTTGTATGCTTACATGGTGGAAGGGGTGAGGGGTCTCTCTCTCCAGCCACTTTTGTAAGGTCACCAATTCCATTCATGAGGGCTCCACCCTCACAACCTAATCACTTTCCAAAGACCTCACCTTCTAATACCATCACCTTGGGGATTAGAATTTTGCGGGAACACGGACATTTGCACCATAGCGCTCACAAATAGAATATTGAGAGAAAAAAGCTAGACAAAAAGGAATATATGTTTTACGGTTCCATTTAAATAAAGTTCATGAACAGATAAAATTAATGCGTGATGAGAGAAGCCAGAACAGCTTGATTCTTTCGGGGAGGAGAGGCCAGTGCCTAGGTGGGTCCTGCAGGAGGTTTCTGAGTTTCTGCTGTGTTATTTTCTCAGCTGGTGGAGTGGTTACCAAGCATGTCCACTTTGTTTTCATTCATTGAGCTGTACATGAGGTTTTGTGCAGTCTTCTCTGTATTATGCTTTAATTTTCCAAAGGAAAAGGAAAAAACTAGCCATGAAAAGAGACCACCAGGGTCAGAGACTGTAGCAATGACTGTGACCTCATCAGCTGAATTGACCCACTCTGGGCTTGTATTGGTAGCAGATACTGCCCAGGTTCTGCCCAGGTCCTGCCTGGGTGCTGCCAGGTCCTGTCAGGTGCTATGCAGGTGTTGCCCAGGTTCTGCCCAGTTATTGCCCAAGTGCCATAAGATCCTGCCCAGGTCCTGCCAGGTCCTGCCCAGGTGCTTCCCAGGTTCTGCCCAGGTGCTGACAGATCTTGTCCGGGCACTTCCAGGTCTTGCTCAGGCACTGCAACAGCAGCACAAGAGCTTGGGGCCAGAGCATCCTTGAGGCTGCGGCTAGGACCCCACCTCTCTAGAAGGCAGTATTCCCAGGGCCACATCTTACACTTTCAGTTAAAATGAATAAAACAGTTCCTAAGGAAAAAAATTAAAACCCCATTCCCAACCTCACAACAGCATCAGCAGCAGCCTCAACAATACAACAAATATTAGTAAGTCGCCCTTGTCTCCCTTTTCCTCCCACATAGCCTCTGCCTGCTGACACCATCTGCCTGCAAAACAAATATGAACCTGTGGTTCCTTTGCTTCAAATCCTCAGCAAACTCCAAGATGTCTAAAACGTCAAAGCTTCAAAGCACATTCAATGTACAAGGCTCCCCACAACCTGTGTCAATCTACTTTTCCATTGTGGTCACCTCTCTCTCCCACCCCTCCCTGTTCCTCTTGCTCCCCCCCATACCACCACCCCCCCACAGACCCTCACAGGCACACATGTGCCCTCCAGCCACCGTGTGCTCTCCACGGTCCAGCACGTCTTTTAATGTGCCATCCAACACACCTCCCAACCCCACTGTCTGGACAGACATTCATCCCTCACAGTAGAGGTGACCTCTCAGCTAGTTTTTTTGTTTTGTTTTGTTTTTTTGAGATGAAGCCTTGCTCGGTCACCCAGGTTGGAGTGCAGTGGCATGATCTCGGCTCACTTCAACTTCCACCTCCTGGGTTTAAGTGATTCCCATGCCTCAGCCTCCTGAGTAGCTGGGATTACTGGCACATATCACCATGCCCGGCTAATCTGTGTATTTTTAGTAGAGATGAGATTTTACCATGTTGGCTAGGCTGGTCTTGAAGTCCTGGCCTCAAGTGATCCACCTGCCTCAGTTTCCCAAACTGCTGGGATTACAGGCATGAGCCACTGCACTGGGCATGTTTTTGAAGACTTTTCTCCCTTTCCCTGGCCCCAGGTTGAGTTACTTTTTCTCTCTTACCTGTTTTTTTTTTTTTCCCTTAGTTTAAGATTTTGTTTGGAACTGTAGCACATATTATTATGTTGTCATTATTTCCATCTGGCTCTGAGCATGTCTTAGGCAGGAGATATGTTCAAATATGTCTGGAGCATTGGTACTCAGTAGATACTCATAAAAAATGTCAGTTGAGTTTAACCAAGGAGGGTTCATTGGCCTTTCTGTTCTTAAATTTCAGCAAGGCTATTGATGCATGTTTTGCCTTGGAACTGAGGAAGAGTAGGCTGAAAGGTTGTGAAGACAAGAAAGGGGTGGTTCATGGCAGTAAAAAAGACCACTATTTAGAATTGGTGCTGCCAGCTCCTGACAGCAAGCTTGAAGTCCTGGGCATGTCCTCACAAGTAAAAAGGTGGCAGTTGTGAAGTCACAGCAGGTCAAGAGGATGGCCCAGAGGTAGAGAATTTGACTGAAGGTCAGACAGTGCTTGGGACAAAGAGAGAAACAAAATACCATGGAAGTGACACTGTGTGACTTTTGAAACTAGACAATAAAAGCATGGCAGCTTCCACCTTAGTCTTTTAGATTTATCACTCTGGGGGAAGCCAGCCTCCATGCTGTGAGGATGCTCAAGCAACTCTGTGGAGGCTGATGTGGAGAGGGACTGAAGCCCTCAGCTCATGGTCTGCATCAGCTTGCCAGCCGTGGGAGAGAGCCATGTTGAAAGTAGGCCCTCCAGCCTCAGTCAAGCCTTCAGATGACACAACCCCAGCTGACAAACAACTACAACTGCAGGAGAGATCTCTAAATGAGAACTGCTTATCTGAGCCCATCCTGAATTCCTGGCCAATAGAAACCATGGAAGTAAGACATGATTAGTGTTTGAGGCTCTAAGATCTGCTGTGATTTGTTTTGCAGCATTAGCTAAACAAAATTCCAAGTGAAGAAGGTGAGTAGAAAAGGGCATTTTGGGTAGAGGATGCAGTACAAACAAAGGCTGGGCAAGGAATCATGTGCGTCAGGGGAGCAGTGGGAAGTGTAGTGTGGGCTATGGGAGGGCATTGAGGGTACAATGGCTAGAGAAGGCAGGAAAGTCTAAATTGCCATGGGCCATGAGTTCCATGGGATGAAGTTTATTTTTGTCCTGTGAACACTGAGGATCTACAAAGGGTTTTATTCAGGAGATGAAAATAATCTGCTTAGATTGTTCAGGAATCTCACGGTGGTGACCACATTGGATAGGATAGTCCAGTGGAAGGGGTTACAGGGCTCTAACTTAAGAGTTACAATGATTCAAGCAAGAGAACATGAAGCTGTGGCAGTTGGGGTAGAGACGGTGGATGAAAATTTGGAATAAAAATCTTTAAGATTTTGGCTAGGTGCAGTGGCTCATACCTGCAATCCCAGCACTTTGGGAGGCCGAAGTGGAAGAATAACTTGAGCCCAGGAGCTCAAGACCAGCCTGGGCATTGTAGTGAGACCCCCTCTCCACAGAAAATTTAAAAATCAGCCTGGCGTGGTGGCACACGCCTGTAGTCCCAGCTACTCAGGAGGCTGAGTTGGATGTATTTCTTGAGCCCAAGAGTTTGAGGCTGCAATGGGCTATAATCAGGCCTCTGCACTCCAGTCTGGGCAACAGAGTGGATCTGGTAACTTTTTGGACTGAAAGATGAGGTGAGATGGAAGCAGGGGAGGTGAGATACAGAGGACCCCAGCTTGGATGCCTTGAGGGCTTGCAATGTTCTTACTATTAATATTTTTATTTTGAAAATTTATTTTTAGAAATAAATTATTTTATTATTATTATTCTATGTGGTTAGTTTTCTCCCCATCAAAGGCAAAAAGTTAGGTATGCCTGGAAGTTAGAAGTTTAAATAGATCCCAGCTGCAGATGAAATTGCGATCAGAAAATAAGGGGAGTGGGAGGAAAAGTAATAGGACTTTGCACCGGAGATGACTTTGTTCCAGTGATTGCCCTCGGCAGTTTGAACTGATATGTGGAGGAAGGCTTTTGCTCGTGCAGTGGGACCATCCCTCCAGACGCACCCATTTGCCTCCACCCATGTACATGTGGAAAGAAAGTTCCAGGCTCCCCTCCTTTCTCCTCCCCTCCCTCTTGAGGATGCTGGATGAGGGATGGTGGGGGTGGGCTGCACAGAGCGTGGGAAGGATACTCAAGGAGTCTCTGGGCAGTCACTGCGGGGAGCCCGGAGTCCGGGTTGGGTAATTGTTCCGCCTAGGTTATTGTGTTCAGGGGGAAGAGAGGCTCTCTGGAAAGAATGCGTTTCGTTTGTGTCGGGTGGTGAGAACCGCATTTCCGCATTGGGACATTTCCTGGATGCACTGCCCTCTGTCCACAAGTAGAAATGGAAGCAGCCAAGGCAGGCGGGTAGGGCCCAGGCAGCAACCAGAACGACAAGTGAGAGGCCAGAGGGAGCAGATGCAAGTCCTGCGTATGAGGTGGGCGGAGGCCTTGGCCATGTCGCAGCTGCAAAGCGGCGGAAGTTGAGCTCCCGGGTCTCATAACATACAGGTTTGTCCACACGTGGCCACCTTGCGAGAACCCCAGTTCCCCAGTTGTCCTGGTTGTGAGGATCCTGAGACTCAGTGACTTGCTAACAATGACACAGGTGGCAGGAGGCAGAATCAGGATTCAAACCTACTTAA